TGTGTGTGTGTGTGTGTGTGTATATATATATATATATATATATATATATATATATATATATATATATATATATACGAGTCCATGAGAAAAGTTAAAGCAGTCCTCCAGGGCAAAGTGTTGGGAGCCTTTGCCCGGTCCAATCTCTGCTAATACATAAGGGTCCGGGACCTAGACTTGGACTTGCCTAAGGCCTCAGAACAGGTTAGCAGCAGAGCCTGGACTGGAACCAAGTTATCCAAATTCCCTCTCCATCTCTTCCTAATTCTTCATCTTCAAGACACAATCTCAACCCCACCACCAGCACTTAGGACCAAGGCTAACCTTCCTTTCAGCTTGCAGCTCCCACTACACTACCACCCTTTTTAAGGCTAATATTACTTGTTTACTACATGTCAAGTGCTGAGCTAAAACCTTTACATCCATGATTCTCATTTAATCTTCAAAAATCACTTGAAATGATTCTTCCTATTTTATAAATGAGGAAGGTCAGAGGCTGAAAGACAACCCAAGATCATACAGGCAACAAGCTGTAGAGCTAAGGTGCAAACTCAGGTCTGTTTGATTCCATGTGACCACAGCTCCTCAGCCTGCTGTCCACAGACCTCTAAAGTGCTCATGTACAGACTTTGCGGGGCAGTGGGCAGGCGAGGCAGCAAACCCACTCAAATTAAATGGAAATGTATATATCTATGTATTTATCTGAGGGCAGGTTCATATGTGGTATTGTCAGATTCTCAAAAGAACCCGTGATCGGAAAAAGACCGAGAACTTCTGGCTTCATGGTGAACTCCCTGGGGCCAAGACACAAGCCTGGCCCATAACAGACCCTTAGGGGACCTGGCCAAGCTCTTCCATCTCAGCCATTCTATAAACAAATCCCAAGGGACTCAGGTCCCATGGAGAAGCAGGCACATCCTCAGAGGCCAACCAGAACACTGGCTGCTGGATTTTTGGTTTGGCCACAGGGAGCCTCAGATTCCCTCGCAACCTCCTTCCAATCAACTAATCTTCCCTTTTTTCCTGAAAAAATGTTTGGATGCCTACTACATACAGACATAGCGCTAAGAGCTCTACCTATATCATTTCATTTAATTTTTGTAACAACTGTGCAGAGTGAGTACTGTTATTATTCTCATTCACAGGTAAAGAAAACAGGCTCAGAAAGGTAAGTGACCTGCTTGCCTTTACCTGGAGTCTGATGAGCAGCTTTGTTGTCACACATGAAAGTCTGCCAGGAAGAGACGCCAATCAGTTCATCTCAGGGAAAGCAGCCCCAGCGGCTGATGGACTGGCCGCTAGCCAGTTTTCAAACCAGAGCTACCAGGGCTGTGTCCAGGAACTGCTCTCTAAGTGGCTCACAGGCCAGCAGGGAGACCATTTCTCAGAGCATTCTCTTTGGGAAAATGCAGCTTTACTTCTGGCTCATTTCACCCACTTGGTCTGAGCTGGACACAATACAATTGTTCACAGAACAAGCTGCACTGCCCTTTGCCAAGCTGACCTGGCCTCCACGTGCAAAGCAGATTACATCAGAGCCGCCAGTGGCCCTCCTCCGGGAGCTCTGTAGCTGATCAGAGGTGGGACTGAGCTGGCTCCCAGCCAAATAGTTTTGCTAAGGAAACTATGAATCCCCTGATACTGTGTACACATCTGGTTTTTTTTAAAGACTAAGCTCAGTTGAAAAGGAAAAGATTTTGAAAATAAAGAAGAAAAAAAAAAAGGCTTCAGTATTTCTCTTCTCAAAACAAAGGGTGTACAGTCCCTACCACAGATGTGGCTAGGCCTTCCTTAGTTCCTGTTGTATCTCAGAAAACAACAATAATGTGAACTCTGGCCTTGATCATCAGAACACAAGCTGGCGCCTCTCTGAGCCTCCCACTATGCTTGGAGTGGTAACCAGCCAGGGCTGGAGAAGCCTGGAGAGAGCTGAGTAACGGCAATGCGCAGGACCCGGCATTTCCCAGCGGGACGGCCCAGCTTGGGGGAAGGCCCAAAGGGAACCCAGGCCCAACACCCAGAGCCCCAGTCACGTACACTGTGCAACCTCGAGGCCACTGTCCTCATCTGAAACCAGAAAAGCAAGAAGAAAGAGGAAAAGCTGTCAACAGCCCCATTTGGAGCTTTGGTTTATTCAAAGGGGTCTTGCAGGGTACTTTCTACTGAAGATCATGTTCTGGCAGGTCTGTCTGAGCAGTCAGAAGCCTACCCCACTTAGCTGGTCCAAGTCCCTGATATCATTCCTTTAGGTGGGGATGCAGTGCTTCCTACCTGGAGCAAAGGTTCTGATTGGACCAAGTCGGTTTGTAGTAGCACGTGTGCGGCCAGTGACCAGGCCATCAGAAATTCAAAGAAATTCAATTCAAGAAGTGTTTCCTGAGTACCTCATTCATTCATTCTACATATATTTACTGAAGGTCTATTATATGCCTGACATAGGGCAAGGTGGTGGGGGACACAGTGATGAACAAGATAGACATGGCTCCTGCCCTCGTGGAGCCCACAGACGGCCAAGGAAGATGGAGACTAAAGAGTTACACAGAATGAGGACAGACGGGGAAAGGACCGCATGGAGAAGTACAGGTGCGCTGAGGGGACATATGACGGGGAGACCTTATACAGGCTGAGATTCATGGGAGGCTCCTAGAGAGAGCGACATTTCCGCTGAGATCTGGTTGGGAGCTGAACAGGGAGGACAGCACGAATGGGGGCCTGATGAGACCAAGATGTGATGCAGCAGGAAAGAGGTGGGAGGCCAGGATGCCCGAAGCCCACAGAGTGGGGGGACAGACAAGAGATAAGGCTGGAGAGGTGGACAGAAGCCAGACCCACCACGCAGGACCTTGTAGGGCACATTAAGGTACCCGAACCCTAGCTTGAGTGGAATTGGAAGCCACCGAAATGATTTAAACACAGAAAAGAGGTGTTTAATTCCACCCGCTGTGTGAAAAAGCACAGATGAAGGTGGGGGCTTAGGAAGAGGGGTTTGGACCTGGGGCCAGGTGCCTGAGACTGAAGCCTGGAGGGGCTCCCAGCCCATGGGGGACAACAGAGCGCTATCTGCACAGGCACATGCAAGCGGCGTTCTTACCTGGTTAAACCTCCGGGTAAAGGCCACGACGTTGGGAGCGAGACTATGTTTCTCCTTCTTACTCCATCCACAGCTGGCTAGTTCCTGGGAAGCACAAAGTCAATTTCAACAGTGATTCCAATGGGGATGCAAATACAGCAGGGCATCTAACTGGAAAGTGGACACAGAGATGGGGAAGGACTGAAGCACTGGCCATCTATGTCCTCCCAGGGTGGGAGAGGGTCTCCTCCCCCTCTGGAGAAGAGGGCTGGGTCTACAGGTGGAGGTGTATCTTGGGACCCCCAGAGGTGAGGGTGAGAAGCAGGATACTTTTCTCCATAACCCCGGCCACATCTCCCAGGACTTCTGTGCCAAATTATTCTCAACCCCGCCACTGCCACTCTGCCAGCTCCCCGGGACCAGAAGCCCTTTCTTAATGCAAATTGTCTGCGAGAGGGTATAATGTTGTACTGAGCAGGAGTCATACCCCAGGGCTAACTTAAAATTAAAATCTGGCTGAAGATGCTCAGATTTCATTGACCAAGTGACATCCTCCATTCCTGGAACCAGGGGACGTCCTGGGCCAAGCCCACTGCGATCAGAGAAGCTTCTGGGATGACCTCAGATTCTTTCCTGAAGTTGCCCCCCACCCACCGCCATCTCTCATATAAACAAAAGGGGGCAGAAAGACAGGTCGCCTTAATATCTTCTTCAGGAGCGTAGTCTCTTCTTTTCTAGCAGATTTAGCATTATAATTTGAAGAATCAAATGACCTAAATGTTACCTAACAGGGAGGCTGGTTCCTCTCCAAGGGAGGTAACCGGAGCAATCTAATGAGATTACCTGGGGGGAGTAGATAAAAGGATGAAGGAAAAGCCATTAACTAAATGCCCAGCTTTGCCAGTTTGTGCCTTGGCGACCCCTGGCAGAGAGAATGCAGGAAAGGAAAGTTCTCTACCCCTCAGTTACAAGGCTTCCTTCTAACTCACATCCAGCCTCTATGTTATTAATGACATTATTTTTTGCCGCACACCTGGAACTTTTATAAGGGCTTTAGTGAGGGTCGGCTGCCTACCAGCCGGAATAGACACAGATCAGGGGTCTACCAGGAAGTCAGGGGGTGCTGTGGGAATGGCCAAAGATAAACTGAGCAGTTAGGCCTGAAGTGCCGCGCCCTTCAAATGCATCTCAGGACCCAACTGAAGTCACCGGCAGGCGCCTGTGGGAAGCCGGCTGCAGGCAATGGGCAGCTCCGGATTCAAGGTGAATGACCTGGACTTGAGAACAGTTGGGAACCAACCAGGAGCTAAGAAACACAGCTCCTCTTCCTGGAGGCCTCACTCCTATAAATGGCACCATTGTCCTCTCAGTCACCCACGTGAAAAAATACAGCAGACATCCTTGACCCTGCCAAGTCCTTCTCACCCTCACGATTTAGACCCCAAGTCATGGTAGTGACAATGATATTAACTAATGCTACCATTTACCAAGAATCCCCCATGTGTCGGTACCGGACAGGGAGCCTCACTTGTTATCTCATGTAATTCTCACCACATCCGTTTTAATAAAGAAGAGGGCTGAGTCCTAGTCATCACCTTGAATGAATGCTCTGGCTCCACTTCTTTTCACAAGTAGGCGTGAATCTCTTTGATCTGTAGAGTTTGCCTGTTTACCATGATTCTCCTCGATGTGTGTATCTGAGTTTCTTTTCTGGCGTATATTTGACCTACAAAGTCAGTTCCATGGACTCCTACTCCATCCCTCCTTTAGAACATATGCAGTCGGCAAATGTATATTACTGCCCTTTCGAAAGGTAACCCTGAGGACAAAGGCCTCTCTCCCCTTCGGATTCCAAAGCCAGACCTGGAAATGTATGTGTTATAATTGGATATAAAAGGGAATTTGTAAAACTGATGTTCAAGGACTGGGACATGGTTGTTGCCCAGTTTCTGGCTGGCAGTTGCTCCCTTTGTTTTTCCCTGAATTCTTTAATAAACAGCAGAAGTTATACACACATCTGTAAGTGTGGGGGGCAGGGAGGGTACACGTGTGTAAGGGTTCATTTAATTCAGAGTTTGGGTCTATTTCCACACCGTAAGTAACTTAGGAAGGCATCCTCAAAGGGAGCAGTGTGGACCTTACAGACCGAGCCAGGTCAGAGCCCACTCTCCACACACCAGCTGCGTGATGTGTATCTTCTCAGAACCTCAATTTTCTCACCTTAAATGGGTCTGATAATATATTTACCCATGAAGCTCATTAAAACAGGTAAGATTAAAGCTCACACAGAGCACCTGGCATGTAACAATCACTTGATAAATGTTATTCCCGCCCCCCCTCCTCTTTCCAGGGTCACGCTGCTGTCAGACACGGCTTTAAATCCAAACACTCCCTTCTTTCTTCCACATACACTCTCGTTGCTGTCTTGAATTATTAACAAAATTGATTATTATTTCTCTTTCATTCTGCTGATGTCATTCAGGCAAGAACCAAAGCAGGTACTTAATACATCTGCCCCAAATTTGTTTGATTTGAATATTTCTAAGACCCTGATTTAAAAACTGTATGTACAGTTCTTGGCGTTTGACAATTCCCTAAGGACCCTTTTGCACTGGAATACATGTCACATTTAAAATTAAAACTTTGGGATTTCCTTGGTGGTCCAGTGGTTAAGACTTCGCCCTTCCAATACAGGGGGTGCGGGTCCCATCGATACAGCTAAGATGTCACATGCCTCGCGGCCAAAAGACCAAAACAGAAGCAACATTATTACAAATTCTATAAAGACTTTCCAAAATATGGTCCACATCAAAAAGAAAATCTTTAAAATTAAAACTTCAACAGGGTAAAACACTATGTTTGAGAGGTTCCTTGATAAAATGGAAAGGGTCCTTTCCTTGCTCCAAATCCCAACCCTGTCACTCATTTCCTGGGTGACCGCTCTCTTGGCATCAGTTGCATCGCGGATGAAAACAGGGATGCTGAGACTAACTCCACAGAATTGTGGCGGAGACTAAGAGAGATAAAGCCTGACAAAGGAGGTGACATGCAGGGCACAGGCCTGGCTCACAGCAGATTCATTTGTTGAATGAACAGGGCATGAGCATTCCTCAGTGTTGAAATCTCCCAAGTCCAGTGCAGAAAGATTTATCAAGATGTCAAAAGAAATAAGGCCATTCTAACTGCACTAAAACATGTCCCAAGCCCAGCCTCCTTGGCAGTATTCCTCTTCTGTGTTTGGCCTTATAGGAATATGAGATGCCATCTGTGTGAAGTGGGTTTGGAAAATGTGAAGTAATAGAACAACACTCCTCCAGCCACTATTACCTAAAAAAGGTCCATGTTACAGAACAGATTTGAGTGTAATTAAGTTAAAATTGACCAGAGGAGATGGGGCTGGTTCTAGAAGGGAGACAAGGGGCTGCGCTGAGGCTGGTAAGGCCTTGGTAGCCCTGCGTGCTGTAGAGCCAGCTCTGTGGCTGCCCTGGGGTGCGCTGGGGCCCTGATCTCGCCCAGGCTGTCCTTGGCTCTGAGCTGCCTGCTGAGGTCCACTGGATGTGAAAGGGCAGTAAGAGCCTGTACAGTCCTTGCCAGCTTCTTCTGGGACCTCTTCTCCGTCATGTGGCTGTTCCCTGGGTTCATCGGGGAGAGACTTTCTGCCACTAAACAAACAAATTCACCTGCCTTCTCTCCCTTCCTCAGGCTTTAGTGGGCGAGAGGTCCTGTCCCCTCAAGACCCGCTCTCCTCCTGGCTCCCTCGCCCCCCTGCTCAGAGGCCTTGCTCTGATGCCCTCTCTGGTCCCTGTATCTTCAACCTCTTCCTCTCCACTTTCTTTCCTGCTAGGATTTTTTTTTTTTTTTTTTTTTTGCGGTACGAGGGCCTCTCACTGTCGTGGCCTCTCCCATCGCGCAAGCCAGGCTCCGGACACGCAGGCTCAGCGGCCACGGCTCACGGGCCCAGCCGCTCCGCGGCATGTGGGATCTTCCCGGACCGGGGCACGAACCCGTGTCCCCTGCATCAGCAGGTGGACTCTCAACCACTGCGCCACCAGGGAAGCCCCCTTGCTAGGATTTTAGTGTGCAAAAGCCTCTCCCATCAATAATAATAATGGTGATGACAACAATAACCATGATAGTAATAACAAAAGCCATCTTTTCTAGACCTCCCTGCCGCCTGAAAGGGTTGTCGGTTTCAACCCTCTTCCCTGGCCACCTCCTTCTCTGGCGAGGCAACCTCTCTGCATATTTTCTGTTCTCTGTCTTTGCCCCTCAGCTCTGTGTTCTCTTGGTTGTCTTGACGCCTCTCCGGCCCCGCATTCGTATTTTCCAGTTGCTTTGTTCTTTTCTGACACATGTCCCCAAAGCCCCACCAGGGTCGTCTTCCATATTCTCTACATCTGCATCCCTTCCTGGAAGATCACACACACCACCACGGCTTCCACCACGTGCCCATGTCCGGCCCAAGTTTCTCTCCTGACTCTAGACCAGGATATTCAGCCACCTCCTGGCCACAACTCACTTGGCCTCCCACAGGCACCTCAAAATCAGCACGCCCAGAACCAAAAGGGTGTCTGACCAGCTGCCTTAAATAAAAACACCTAACGACATGAGATTCATTTAGACATTCAATCTGACAAAGAAGAGTGTTTATTACAAAGAAACTGTCCATGGAAAAAAATCCCTAACCAAGATAAAAACAACTCTGTCTTAATACCCCCATCTGCAAGCATTCCTAGGTGACAGCAAGAGTCAACACTGGTTTTGGCTCACCCTCGAAGCTTCTCTGGCCACCAGCTTTGTGCTTAGGGTTTTGGGAGTCAGATGCCCTGAGGTGGCCTGAGAAAGGCCTGATCCTGACTGTGCCTGGGGTCAATGAGGTAAGGCCCTGGAAGAGGAGACCTGGGGAGTGGGACAAGTCCTCCCTGAAGACCCCCACAGGATCTAAGCCACTGAGCCATAGGCAGCCACATGTGGCCCTTTCCACGCATGTGTTTAATTCTAATTGGAATCTTCTCCAAATCACATTCCTAAAACATGCCCACATGGAAGATGCACCACGTCAAGGAAAGGTCACTAAATCTGACCTCAGGGACCACCACCAGGCG